TTTTTTTTTTTTTTTTTTTTTTTTTTTTTTTTTTGTGATCATTGCAATTAAACATGAAAGGCAGTTTTGAAAATGAAATTTCAAGGTACGTAAAATTGACTAATAGTCTTTATTGCGCTTGTTTAAAAAATTATTTTTTAAAATTCGTCTTGTTGTGAAATGTTTCCATGAATTCCTTAATATTTTCTGAATTGAACGATTTAAGCTAAATATAACGATCCTTCTTTTGTCAAAAGCAGAGTTGGAAGAAATGCTTCTTCCTAAGGATGAGGAAAAATCATCCATTGAATCAAAAGGAAGTGAGTGAGGGAATATTAACGTCGCACTCTTCAGCTACTCCAGAGCTTTTCGAACTACCACACCACACCAACGGAAGGACGTTTGAGCTCTCGACAGATTTAACGTGCATCACTCCCTACACGGCGGGTCTTTAATGGTACTGGGCTCGAACTCAAGACATGCCTACCATGATCCGATACCATAACCACTGGGCTACCGCAGCCCCCTGAATCAAAAGGGAACTGAAGAGGTAAAAATATATCGGTGTGAGGATGAGAGTGTCGACAGTGAATCCCGTCCTGCTTTGGCAGCATTGGTGGAACTTGAGAACAAAATTTGGCTACGAAAAGATTTTCTTGAGGCTTTTCAGGTTGCAAAAATCATTTAATCTGCATATCAACTAGTGTGATCCATTAAAGTGCGGAAAATTGTTTCATTTCTCAAATTACTTAGGTAATCTATGAGTTACCTACTAGATACTCGTTAAAGTGAAAAAAGATCTTTGGTGGAACAACAGCAACATTTTTACACGCTTAAATTAAATGTTTGTTTATTTTTTGATATCTAAAGAATCAAGTTAATACAATCAAAGAATTGACTCATTAGTTGATAGAATCAATCATGAATCAATTGAAAAACTACATTACAAAGAATCTAACGATTTAAAAGATCATTGCAATTAAGGAAATTAACATAATGATATTAGCTGCATGACCCGGCGTTGTGCACGGGTTTTCTCTACTTTTATAAATATTCCCTTCTCAATATCAGCACGTGCAGAGGTGGTGTGATTTCTATATTAATATTAAAATTCCTTTTTCGAAATTTGCTCCACTTATTTTCCTTGTCCGAAAAAAATTCATACGCAACAGCTTAGAAATCATTTTCATAAAAAACGCATCAGTTTTGACTCATTTTTAAAATAATCGTAAAAAATAAAAAATATTTTTTTTTTTGTTAAAAAAAATTATACCGTATCGTGGCGAAATAAATGATCTTTCCGATTCTGCAATTATTTTTTTGTCTGAGTTTGATAGAAAGAATTGGATGGCTTATTTAAAAACGTAAAACTGCAAAAAAAAATTCTCCCTCATAATTCTTCATATTGCGTAGCCGCAGAAATAGCACACAGGGGTAAAACAATTATGCGTTTTAAGGTTTTTAGATAATATCTTTTTAACTAATTGCAATATCGGAATATAAATGATAAAAACGAATTTCTCGGATTATTCCCAATCTTTTTGTACCTTTGTCGAGTTTCTGCGTCGTGCGGTTCGTGAGAAGATAGACGTACATACAAACAAACACAGATAGATAGATAGATACGCTGGTTTACCTTCGAATTTTATAATAGTGTAGATTAATTTTCTATATCTAAATAATCGCGTAAATCCAATCTGACAAACACCAAATTAGTTGATAGAATCAGCCATCAATCAATTGAAAAACCATAATACAAAGAATCAAACGGTTTAACAAATTATTTTAATCAAAGAAATGAATTTACAAAACATATGCTTACTTAATAGGGCATTCTAAAAATTGGTGATACTTTGAATAGCAAAGCAATGGGCTTTTATCACAATCACACCTATTTGTGGCACATTTAGAAGGAAATGAGAGAAACAAACTTTTTGAACTTTAATGCTACAGTAACATGTCATGTGAAAATTACCTAGTGGAAACAGAAAACTCTCGATTTCGGACTATAACGGAGCAAAAATCAGTTAATCTGCAGA